AGTGGTTCTGTTTGCAGAGTCCTAAGACAGAGAAATAACACAGAAAACAAAGCTAAGACCTGGTCAAGCTGGCTTATATGGCAATCATATTCTTGAGATAGCCAGTTCATATATATATTATATCAAGAGAGCAACCCACATTCCTAAGGACAGAATCCTAGCTACCTCTTAAAGGTGCCTCATGTTCCCACCATCTTTCACAATTAAATCTCAGCAAGAGGGACTGTTGAGTTAATTTAGTGAACAAAGATGTTTGCCTGAGGACCTATGTTGAAACCCTAGGACCTCCAGGAGGAAGGAGAGAACTGACTCCCACAAACTGTCTTCTGACTTTCACACGTGTACACATATGTTGGGGAGGGTCAAAAGACAAAGGGGGGACAAAAGGGGAGTTTTCTGAAGTCGTCATTTTAGTTTTTAAAATGACAATTCAAATCACCCAGATACCATTGAAAAATTAATGGTAGCAGATCTAGTTAATTAGATTTTTAGACATTACTAATAGGAAAAAAGTTGTCCAAAGACACTAAAAAGTGTTTTTCTTGAAGTATACTGAGAACCAAAAGCCACATTAGAGAAAGCTGACCAAACTGAGATGGATGTGTTGAGAATTCTCTGCTTCAGCCGTGATTCTTAAACATCTCTGCTTCTGATGAGACCAAAGATCATGACCTTTTTTCTCAGAGAGGTCAGAAAAGGAAAACATTGCATAGATGGTGCCAAGGAAACCATGAGTCACTACTGTGGACTTGAGAGAAACACTGAGACCATTAGGGTCTTGTAACAGATGTTCAAGTGCCCATTGATTGCATGACTTTTAGGGACCTTGATGACATTTGAGTCATGAGAGCCAGACATTTTAGATCAGTGACCCTGAGATGGAGTTAAGTGTACCAACTTTGTGTTCTTTTCTCTTGAGTCCAAATACCTGCAGGGGCTGGTGAGCAGCCAGTGCCAGCTTGCCTTGCCAAGACCTTTTCCTTGGCAAAGTTTTGAGCCTTTCCGAAAACTCTTCTCCTTTGCTGTTTTTTTCCAATGTCACCAAGTGCGGTCAATCCTCAGCCATCCAAGGAAGACTGCAAATGGGTCCTTCTAGTACAGTTAGTGCATCGTGTGGTCCCTGCCACCATCATGTTACCTCTGAAGAATCCAGCCCATGTATGTCCCCGCTCTTCTCCTCCTCCTGCTCTCTTTCTTTCCCCCTTTCTCTTTCTCTTCCTTCATCCTTCTATCTTTTCCTCTTCCATTGACATTTCATGTAGCCTAGGCTGGCTTGAATTCGCCATCCCTCCATGTAGTCTGTATCTGACTTTGAACTCCTGATCCTCCAGTCCTCACCTCCCAAGTGCTAGGACTACAGGTGTGCACACCAACAGTTAGCTTTAGTACTGCTTTTCTAGAGATTTCTGCTCTCTGTGCAAATGTTGAACAATGTCCAGAACGCCCCTAGTGACTCTATAACTCTCTGCTGATCTCAGACATCTCCATTTTTCCATTCGTACTTCTAGACTATTCATCCTAAATTTACTGCCCCTTTCCTTCCTTGCTTGCCAGAAAGTTAAACCAGACTTAATCTTAGTAATTATCCACTTAATCCTCTTTCACAGACAAAGTGGAAAGTCCATGGAGATAATGTGATGTCCCTAAGGGCCACTGTTCCCATTGAGTGGTGCTGCCTCTCACAGGAATCTGTTTGCCTGCTATTCAGCTATCCTTCAAATGTCTCTCTAATTCAATGTCTCTTTTCTATCTAGTCTCTCAAACATACCACAATCTTTTCATTGATAGTTTTGTATGCAGTATTCCCCCACTTTATTGCATTCTACTATATACCATGTCCAAACCCTCCCTACATTCCCTCCCTCCTTATTTTCTTTCCATCATTTCCTTTCTTCCACCGTGGATTTGGTGCCCTATAACCTAGAAGGGCTGCATACACATCCTGTATCTCTGGGGTCGCACACTGATGACTATCCCTCTGCTTCAGCCTCCAAAGAGCTGAGAATCAAGGCATGCATCACCATGATGCCCAGCTAGCCTTTAGTATGAGTTATTTAATCCTCATAAATCCTTTAGCCACAGTCTAGTCTAATTTCCATTTATGCACATGGAGATGAAAGATGGAGTGGTTGGAGTCACTTCCCACACCTCAGTTAGCAGGTGGCGGGCCAGCATCCAATGTAAATGTCTGTCTTCAGATCCTGCACTGTTGGCCCCAACTTCAAACTCCTCACCTTCAAGTAATATCTGTCTGTCAGGTTGAAGGCTCTCTTTTCTCTATAAAACTTTCCACGGCGATCAATAAACATAGAGACATGGAATTTACTTCTGGGTTATTCATATTTTCTCAGTCCTATTCAACATACTGCAAATGTTGAGAAAGTAATACAAGGACTTATGAAACGATCATAAATATCTACAGCTCTGTTTTTTCAAATTTTCTTCCAAAGGTAATTGGAAAGCAAACAAGAAAAGCCAAGTGCTAACAAGAGCCTTCACAGTGGCTTGGTGGGCAGACAGCAGCTCAGTTAGTCAGGGTTTTTTCCTTCCTCCAGGTCCTCCTGGTACCTCTGACCTTGGAGAAGCCACTTAACCTCCATACCCTCATACTTCCTTCCCCAGTCTCATTTGTGAAATAGGCCTAATAAGGCATGTCTCATGGGGTTACAATAGTGACTGTATGAAAACACACTATGAATTGTAAAGCCGTGTTCAAATACAGTCTCTTCTTTCTTTTGGTCTCACCATGAACCAAATAGCTTAGTGGGAGCTGCATCCTCTCGCTGACACAGTGGAGATGCTAGTGCCCTGGACATAGACATTTTTTGTGAGGTTTCCTTGGCTTATTTAAATCAACTTTTGTGTGTTAATTTTTCATAAAAATGAAGTTGGCCAGCATCTCCCTTACCTCTGTCTTAAGGTTTTTAAACACTAATTCTAAACTTCGACTTTGAAAAGTGATACAAACCAGCTCTTCAGCAACCTGTGTTCAGCATATTACCATTCCTTGTGTGTTCCTCATGGAATGACTTTAATCTACATGGTTAGTCCATCATGAACTATAAATAACTCATGCCTGTTAAGGTATATAAGGTATACACTATGTCTTTGTTGATGGGGCTTGTGTACAATGACTGTGTTGTTTTGCTTTGCAAAGTTGGGGTAAAGATATAGAAGACAAATGAAATAATAAAAGCATGGTAGAAAGGTTGAGAAGAAGAAAGTTAAAGTGTAGAATGCAAGAGTTAACTCCTAAAATAAATAAAACAGCACCACCTTCTACAGAAGCCGGGGTTTATTTCCAGTTGGCAGTGAGAATAGTATAAGTTGGATAATAGTTTCACAAAGGTTCCAACATGTGTCACCATGCTAGGCTAGTATATAGCATTTTACATGTAGACTGTTAGGTACAGTCTATTCCAACGCACATGGGGCCGAACACTAGATGACCATGTGCAGTTGAGCCATGCAGCAATGCATCTTCCGTTACTGGGAAAGCCTGGATTCTAGTCCACAAGTAACGCCTGAGAGGCTAGTGACTTCAATCAGGTGATTTGGTCTTACTTGTTAAACAGAGATACCAGTGCCTAGAATAGCATGAATTTTTGAAAACTGCTAGACCCCTTTGCTATTAATCATCACATGTATTGCAGAAATCCCAATTGTTAAATTTGTCCACTGAAGGCAAAATGGGTGAGCGGTGGAATAATGCCACTGTGGGATTAATTACTATCTTAGTTTTGCTCTGTTCACTTGTGTTTACCTGACATTTTCTCACCAAATTGCTTTCAGATTCTAAAAGCTATTGGCAAGACCAAGAAGCAGCTATGTCTTATGTCATAGTAAACTTGTCGGAGATAACCTACCCTTGTAAATATGCATGTGATCCCAGCTTCCTATAGGAACAGTGAAGACAGCAGACAGAGGATAAAGACATTATACGCCTTTGAAACAGGTTTCCTAGCTAGTTCTCAATAAAGTACATGGGTTGCTATTTTACAATGTGTTTGGCACATTCACTTACCTGATAACAGGTAACTGGATCTGTTTTATAAATGAAGGAAACGAAGAGAGTTTAGCTTAATTCCAAACTCTTCTAGTGTGATCCATCAGCCCATTGCTGATTCACTGATACCAGCTATATCTATTGCTTTAAGCGTGTTAGATGTTTTTCAGAGCCCTTAGAAGTTAACCAGGTTGATGAAGCATGTCATGTAACTGAACCAAGTCCTATCTAAACCTTTCTAGTTCTTTTTTTTTTTTGATTTTTCGAGAGAGGGTTTCTCTGTGTAACTTTGGAGCCTATCCTGGCACTCGCTCTGGAGGCCAGGCTGTCCTCAAACTCACAGAGATCCAAATGCCTCTGCCTCCCGAGTGTTGGGATTAAATGTGTGCGCCACCAACGCCCAGCTAACCTTTCTAATTCTAATGTCCATTTCTTACAAGAGTAGCCTTGTCCTCTGGAAGCTTTCCTCCCTCTTCCTAAGATCAACATGGGACCCTTCCAGCTAGAGTGTTTGTCAGCATCCCCACAGGACTTGTTAGATGAAATGCACATCTGCTGAGACTTGAGACCTTGTACATCTAGAAGTTTCCTTCTTCGTCCTGACCTATCGCCTTAAGAATTACTGACGAGAAAAGCATAATAGCCTTACATAGAAATAAATTGGAAAGTTGTCCTGAAGGGGAATTCCTGGACTACAGTGGGAAATGAAGATTCATGTTACGTTTTCCAAAACCCAGTAGAATTAATAAAGTGATGGTTTTAGGTTCTCCTCCAAGGTCCGTGACTAGCCATGGGTAATTGACTAGGTTTCCAGTACCAGGTATGGAATCTATTTAGCCACCCATGATCAGTTTGAGAATTCAAAAGTTTTTGTTTTGTCACTGTGTTTTGGATTACAAAGGGGAGTGGAATGTAAATTATATAACAGGTGGAATGTATGGATTGTCTCAAGGAATTCTTTTGTATTTACTCACTTATTTATTGGTCTCTGTAGGTGGCAAATCTTCCAAATGACTATATGATAGCCCTCAACTATGTCACCGGGATGGATGTTTTGGTATGTAATCTGTACATTTCTGAGTTGTATTTTAGTAGCTAATGGGGGAAACGGGATCATCCACACTAAAGAAATTCTCTACTCTTTGTCTTGATTTGAAGATGATATCTGTAGGTTTTGAGTTATACAAGTTTTTAAAAATGTTTGCCTCAAGCCATTGCTCGATTAACAGTGGGCATTCTAGCTTGTATTTTAGGCCTGTAAACTAAAAGGAATCTGACCTTTGTTATACTTAGCAACTTATGTCCCCTTCTCCGCTGAACATCTGCCAAAGGGGCTTGAATATAAAATCATGTTAATTAATTATTTTCCTTGACAATGTCTCCTACATAATACACACACACACACACACACACACACACACACACACACACACACACACGCACACATATACGGTACAAGTTGTTCTGAGCTGGAATTCTCTGTTTTTATGGAAGTTCTTGGATGTTAATCTGTTGATAAACTCCAGTAGACTTATGTAGACCAAAATAATACAGAGTAACTCTGCATGCTTTTACACAATAAGACCTCTAGGTTTGCCATACTAAAACATGTAATATTAATGCTGTTATACTGTGTGCTCCAGCTTGCAACTTAGTCACATGTTTTCAACATACATGCTGTGCATGCTGATTCACTGTAGCTGGTGTAACCCTGAAATAAATTTAAAGCCATTTGGGCTTCCCTCTCCTTTGCAACTCCCATATTTCCCTATACCAAATGTTCACCATGTGTGTTGGTTATCCATGTGGTGTTTCTGGGTTTTGTGGATCAATCAAAATGATTACCAGTTTAAACATACTAGTGCATTCTTTAAAACGCCTTTCAAGTACTACACGAGGTTTTCATTTCAAGAGACTGTCCGTGGCTATACTTGTTTTACTTGGTGACCATTTTAGCATGAACTACTGAATGTTCTTTAGAACTCCCTAGAACATGGATCTTAAAGCTGGACCACCATCCTTGAGCCTGGCCACCATCTGTCAATTCAGGTGACAGAGCTCTCTGCAAATAGAAACATAAAGTAGAGTGAGCGGCTTGAAAATTAGTCAATGCAGTCGTTTGATCACATAGTCAACAAGTGAACACAACTGAGCCTGTGCTCACAAGGTTAAAAACCTAGCCTCAGCATTCATTCAAGTACTTGCCCAGCATATGTAAGGTCCTGGATTCCATCCGCAGCACCAAAAAGAAGATAATGAAAACGTCTTAATAAAAATTGAGAGAAGAGTACGTAACGTTTTTGTAACATTTCTTTTTTCATTTTCAAAATGAAGGATGTCACTCCCCCTCCCCCCAACAAAGGTGAGGGAGAGCCTCTAAATTAGGCAGACTATTATTATTCATATTTTACAAAAGACTCAAGGAGGTTTGCAGCCCAGACTTATTTTGACCAGGGTTCTACAGCTTGAACATGACAGACCTAAGAAGCATACACCACCACCACCACCCCACCCATCTGACTCTTAACCCTGGGTTACTGAAAATGGGCATGTGAATAATTACAGTGGTGAGCCAAGTGTTAGAAGGAGGTTTCTAGGTAATAAAGACTCCTCGCTCTTGACTGCAGCCCCCTTGAGCCTGGCAATTGCCAGACTTGCTCAAAGCAACCCCGAGGCTCTTTGCTAAAGCAAGTGTTGGGCGGGAATAACTAAATAGATGATTTTGTGCTGGTCTCATCATAGATGGTGCTAAATCATAAATTTCAGTATGAGCTGGTGATAGCTAGAGCCAGGCTTGTAAAAATAAAGCCGACTGATTGCCACATATTTTGTGTGTGTTTCTGCAATTGAGAGAAACCTGCTATTATTTGGTCTTGGCACGCTATCATGGAACTACTGAGAAACATTGTTCTTGGCCACTGCTGTTGGCAGGAAAAGCAATCTAGTGTGGAGGGCTTAGCATAGAAACTGGGGTCTTACCCTTTACCTTCGTTTTAAAGGGTTCATTTCTGCCAAGACCAGAGGCGTTTCCCAGTTGAGTGGCCTGTGGTGATTTGTTGGTGGTCAGAGCCCCAGCTGCCTAATCTTTTGTCTTTAAACAATGGAGGGTGGAGTGGGACTTGATGCCAGAAAGATTCCCTGGGGCCAAAGCAATAAAAGTCAGCCTTGGGCACTGGGCAGGATACTGTTTATTTTTCACTTTTATTATAAAAACCAGCTAAACACTGAAAAGGAAAAGTCTACTTTCCTCACTCAAGGGCCTTAGGAAGTAACCTAGCAGATCTTCTCTCAGAAATAGCAGGTTGTGATCATCCAGTTATATTTGAGTCTACTGATATTCACCAGTTCAAAATCCTCACAACTGTAGAATGGGTAGGATTTTCCCCTCAACTTCTGAAGTTTAGAAATACCTGAATGAACATTGCTGTCTCTTTCATTCACCTAACAGTTACTATAGAAAGAATGGACATGGGGTTGCTGAAGCTGTGTGTGTTCTAAAGTGTGTAGCAGTCCATAGACCAGGAGGTGCTGGAAATTATCATTTTTTAATTATATATATATATACATATATATATGTATATATATATATTTTTTTTTCCAAAGAAAAAGAAAACTCTCTGTGTGTATGTGTGTGTACATAATTCTTTGGAAATGCCTTTCATTATGCAGAGTAATTGCAAGAATATTAGAAGAACACTATATGCTCTAATCCAGGTTCAACTGCTTTTTTTTCTCCCTCAACATCCATCTGCTTTATCAAGGTTTTCTTTTCCTATATAAATATGTCTCATATTATCTTTCCAAATAAATTGTGGCCATTTGCTTCTAAATACTTTAGTATGTGTTACTCTGTTTTGTTTTGGTTTTTGGTTTTTCAAGATAGGGTTTCTCTGTGAAACAGTCTTGGCTGGCCTGGAACTCACTCTATAGACCAGGCTGGCCTCGAACTCACGGAGATCTGCCTGTCACTGCCCAGCTAGTATGTGTTTCTTAAGTAGAGAATAATTATCTTCCCTATCAGCAAGGCATTTTCTTCTCTAGTAAATTTAGCAACAGTCATTATATCTTAATGTATTGGCTGTCTTCAGTTTTAATCTCTTCGTGTTTTCATGTCTGTTCTTCTGGTAAAGGTCCATTTCATGATCATGATTTACATTTTAATTTTTATTATTTTAAATTGTGGGTGCACATACATGCACACACACACACACACACACACACACACACACACACACACGAGTATAGGTGCTATGGTGCTAGACATGGGTGCTGGAGAACTGAACTTGGAGCATGGACCAGAAGTATATCTCTTAAGTGCTGAGCCATCTCTTCAGTATCATGATCTTAATATCAAGAATAGTGACCTCCCCCCAAAGATATCATAGTCCAGTTAATTTATCTCGCTACAGGGACTTTGAAGAAGTAGTTCAGTTAAGATTTCTAGATGAGATTAGCTTGGACTATCAAGAAGTAGTTCAGTTCAGATTTTATTGGCAAGTGGGCCCAGCCATTGAATGTAATTGCATCCTTATCAAGGAATCTGATCTGAGATAGAGAGGGAGATTTGCAAATGTTCCTCAACTGGCTTTAGAGATGAAAGCAGTGGCTACAGGAGTACTGGTGGGTAGCCTGTAGGAACCGGAAAAGGCAGGACAAAGTTCTCCCTCAGTACCAGTGAATGACTTAATTTTACCTCAGTAAGATTTATTCCGTATGTCTGCCCTCAAGAACTGTAAAATGAACTTCATCTTGTCTGCCAGCTTTGTGGTAATTTGTTCTAGCTACAATAGGAAATCAACAGATTCTATCTTAAAGTCCCCTTCAGAAGTCCCTCAGCCTTTGTCTTCATGGCAATGGAGCCTTCCTCCTGATAAAGCCTTCCCTTGGAAATGTGATTGTTAGCTCTTACTGATTCTGTGGAATTTAGGCATTCTAAGCCATGGTGCCACTTGATGACACTTGATCAGATTGTCCCTTCCAGGTCCGAATGCCATCTCCCACAAGGCAGCTTGTTTCTCTCCCCAAGAGAGGGTGTGCACCTGATTTCTGTGCATGTAGCCATTAGCAGTCTTGGAGACACTTTAAGCCCACATTAACCCTGCTCCTCATCTCAGTTTATAGCTACTGACCTTTATTACCTGAGCTAATCTCCACTGGTACATTGTTTTCAGTTTTTGTTTGTTTTGGTGTTTAGGATCAAACCCAAGACTGTGCTCATTCCAGGCACACTGAGTCATAGGCCCAGTTCATAAAGTATTTTTTTTTAAAGGAATAGCTAAGAGGGAAATGATTGATGAGGGCCTTTATTATTACTGGGACAGTAAGCTTCCTAGCTGTCTTTCTCTGTAGCTCTCCTCTGACACAAACAGGTTCACTCTGTGAGGCTCTTTCAGCGGCTCTGTGTTCTTTTGTTCTTCACCATCCCAGGACTTGTTATTGGGTACGTTAGTTAGTTCTTGGTTTGACAAGAAAGACTTCAAAATGATTATACAATTGTGGATCTATCTCTCCTGTATATCTGCTGAATGATTTCCCATTCATCTTCTGAAACAGGAAAAGGCAATATTGCAACAAGGACGCAGAAGTTTCCTGATTGGATACAGGGCTATTTGATTTATATCTTCCCCTAGCCAACGAATTTCATAAAAATGAAGACTATACATACATGTTGTATTCTTTCAACATGCTATTCTATACCTGCAGTATTTTCTGAGTGGTGGGCATTTAATAAATATTTGATGGAAGGATGCAAGGAAATGAAGTAGAAACATTTCCCTGATGTGTCATCACTTGTCATTTCCTTGAGGTCCCAGGTGATGTGATGGCTGGATGCCTGCAACTCAGCTCCAAGTATCTGAACCTCAGCAAGGCTCCTATGCCTTGAAACTTGTGCCCATGCCATAAAGTCTTGGTTGTAAGAGGTTTTAAGTTCTGAATTTGAGTCTTCTAATCTGTTTGTATGGAATCATTTCTGTTCAAGAACCATCTCCTTGTTCTAGTTTGCTGAAGCCAAATCCCTAAGCCTGATATTTATAAAAAAAGACTCTCCATAATCTTGGCTCCCCATGGTAATATCCATTTTTCCTCTACACAACTCATCACCCAGCCCGATGTATCACTGCCCCCTGAAGTCCTACCTGTTCTCCATTCCTGTGTTACGCTGAGGTTGCTTCCCCTTTCTAGGGATATCCTTGCTCCTGCCCACTTACCCTACCATGCAATTGTGGCTGTTTGGGAAGTGAACATATCTTAGCTGACGGCTCTTTTAAGAGCAGATTAAGGTCTTGCTTTCACACAAGGTCTTTATCTACATTCTAGACTGTGCTTTCTCTTCCCCTTTTAATATGGGACCCTAGGAAATTAGCACCACATAGAATCTGAACTGAGTGTTTTGATTAATACTGAAGACACAGTGGTCAGTGCACTAACCCTGTGTGTGCTGAAGGAATGTTGTCTTAGTATCTCTTGATTTCTGTGTAATTTCCTAAAAGATATTCATTGTGGGTGTAACAGCCTATTACTTACAGGGCAATCAACGAGTATGTGGTAGGCACTCATCTCAGAGTGTTGTAAGGAATAATTAAGATATTTTTAAAAAGCCTTATGTATGCCATGTGAATAACCATGCCATCATCATCATCATCATCATCATCTTCGTCATTATTATTTTGATGATGACAACTTGGCAGGTCTCATGGTCGAAGTCCTCCTGCCTCAGCCTCCCATGTGCTGGCTGCTGTTATACGGGTGTGCCACCATGCCCAGATGGCATGATGATGTTGTTGTTTTCTTTGTTTATTCTCTCTTAACTACAGAAAGAACAGGAATGGCCTCTTCACCTTGTTGGATTCCTTTCCATTCTCTAGGTGACTCAATGTGTGTATTCCTTACTCAAAAACTACTTCCTAGACAACATTTAATTGTAGTAAAGAAGTATTGAAGAAGATTATCTTACCACACTGATAAGGACAACCTTAGTCCTTTTTAAACAATAGTGAAATCAAGCTTAACTAGGAAAAGAAGTTGGGTGAATACTCCTTGTAAATATCATTCATAGATTACCAGATAGGGCGTCTCTCCCTCAGAATTTGATTGATATTGGCACTATACAAAATTTAGGCTCCCTAAGAAAGTATGAGGCTACCAAGTATGCTTTATTTACTGTGAGCCCATGAATCTTATAGTGACCACAATGAGACTGTACTTCTGAAACTGATGCAGAATCACGTGTTGGATTCTTAGAGGACAGAATATGCCAGACTTAGCAAGCCCCAAGGTGTTTCTATTGCGTTTTCTTCATGCATGGCTCAAATTGACTAGTACTAGTACTGCAGAATGGCTCCATCACACATATTACAGGATCCATGCATCTCCTTTTGAATATTTGGCTTTAGGAGTGCATGAACATTTTCATCATTGCCGCTAATATTCCCACTCGTGTTTAGAATACTGATAATTATATATGCCTTTCATTGTGTCTTTTCCTTAGTCATGTAGTGAAATCATGATATTTGGTGCCCACAGTCCATTCAAATCCCTAAGAAAATTCATAGCTAAATCACTAATAGCAGTGATCTGCTCATGGTACAAAGATGTTGGTTTAATGTCAGGAAGTCAATTAGCATTTTTGATTAATACAGATTACAAATGTATAGGAGTAGGAAGCACAAGCTGTTCCAGGAGTCTCAGACAGGACTACTCTAATTAACCTCCTATCATCTTACGAGTGAAATACTTAGAAAATGGAAGTCAGAAAGTACCAGGAAGGAAGATAAGATTATATGTAGTGTGGAGTCAAGGAAAAACTCAGGCAAATCTCCCTGTTCTAAGCAGTTTTTATTTCTTCTTTTGATCGATATATGTATGGATTAGAAAAAAAGGAAAGCTAATCAAACTATATGTCCTTTAGAAATGTACAAGCCATGTGTTGTCTCTGACATCTTGGGTTACTTTCCCAATCTTGTGCATTCTTTGAGTGAACGAGAACATTCTATCTTCTAATGACTGCTGTAAGTTAATATTTGTTTTCAAGTATTAAAGTTTTAATGGCCTCAGAAAGATAAGAAGCAGTGATAATGCCATTTTAAGGCAATGGAGAAAAGATTCTGTTTGTGATTTTGACAACACTTAATCATCTATTTCATAATCATAATCTTGGAAGAATTGAGAAACAGACTTCCTATCATCTCACAAATGAAATGCTTAGTCCACTGTGCTTTGTTCTCTTTGCAAATCATTGACTATATTTAATTAAAAAGAAAAAAAGAAGGAAGAGAAATTGCTTGATGTTCTAGTCAAAACTGGTTCCCCCTGCACTGCGCCCGACCCTGTTCCCAGCAGGAAGGTGAAAAGAGGCTGACAGTGAATACAAATTGTTTACTTTGGTTGTCTTTCCAATAGATCCAAGAGTCTTAAAAGCCGCTGCATAGCTGTGTAAACAGATTAGTGAATGCATGGGGCTGATTTAAAGATGCAGTCTTTTCAAGAGAACTATGCCACGAACAATAATGACTTTTGGATAAATATAGCAAGGGCTTAGAAATATGTGTATTTTTAACAGGATACCCAAAAGTGTATAGCAATTCTGGCATATGGTGGCATGTTTCTCTAATCCTAGTACCTGGGAGACAGACAGAGGCAGGAGGATCACAAAGAGGGGGTTCATCTGGACTTCATAGCAAGATCCTATCTGTGTAACAGGGTGGGGATAAAGGAAAGAAATGAATGAATAAATGGATGCTTTTTTTTTTGTTTGTTTGTTTGTTTGTTTTTCGAGACAGGGTTTCCCTGCCTTGGCTATCTTGAAACTCCCTTCTGAAACCAGGCTGGTCTCGAACGCAGGGAGATCCACCTGCCTCTGCCCACTGAGTGCTGGGATTAAAGGTGCACCACTACTGCCCGGCTGAATGAATGGCATTATGTCAAAGAAATTGTTATAATTAAGACAAGGTGTCCATGTGTTTGAAAGGATAAGCCCTGGGCTATCCCATTGCTCAGACTTGATTTAGGTCTATGAAAATGAGAGCAATCACAACTAAATAGAAAGGAGATGATGAAATTTTGTAAGCGGAGCTAAACAGAGCAGGTAGTGAATCTTCTGACATTTCCCCAGGTCTAAAGTAAGAAACAAATGAGCATAGTCTGCCATGGTAGCCAGGAGGTCTTGGGTGGGGGCATAGAAAGAGAGAAGAGAGAAAGAACACTTTTATTTTTTTAAAGAAACCACACAGGATAAAGGGGGACCTTAGTTCAAAACAAAGGAATTTAATTGTGGCAGAAGATCCAAGATGATAGACAAGAATATTGGTAGCGTGGTATAGAGCTAAATTATGGCTGAAAATTTGCATAGTGGTAGCTGATTATCCCGGTTGGTGATGGCTGTTCTACTGTATAAATGGTATTGTAGTGCGTGCTGTGTTCCTAGCCTATTGGCCCTTGCTCAGAAGGCTGTACCTGACAGTTCTCAGGGCCTGATGGAAGATGATACTCACATAATGGATCAACTTGGATGACTGACAGGTTTGAAAGGGATTTCTTAGTAACCCAAGTAGGAGCTTGGCAGTTTTGACATTTTTATGTTGAGTGCTTGCTTGCATGTATGTGCACTGTGTGTTTGCCAGGTGCCCTCAGAGGCCAAAAGAGGTCATTATGTCCCTGGAACCGGAGTTAGAGATGTTCCTGCGCTATCCTGAGGATGCTGGAAAGTAAACCCGAGTCCTCTGCAAAAGCAAAGGTGCTCTTAACCACTGAGTCATTTCTCCAGCCTCTAATGAATTTTTTTCCACTTATTCATATATCCTTTTATATGTAGTTTCTCAGCAACCCCCACATGCCCCAGAATACTCTATAGTAGACACACCACAGAGAACAAGACTTTTGTTTTTTTAAATGTTGTTCTTATACTATCTCCTTTATTTTTATGCTACACACATGCAATGTGTGATTGGGAGTTTATGTCGTTAGCCTGGAGTCTCCCAGCTAGACCTGAGTGCAGTAAGGCCTGATTCCAACTTCTAGGGGTTATCTAACAAGTGGGCAGAACTGGCTCTGTGAGCTGGGCCTGCTTGGCTTACTGTTCCACTATCACAACCTTGAAATTTTAGATAGTTTGTGAACAAACTGCTGAATGATAATTTTGAACAAGAAATACACTTTCACTTTGCACTTACTCCCACAAATAACACAGCTGGTTCTGTCACTAGGAAGAAGTGCTTCGATTCAGATCTCAAACCACGTTCCTACCCATGTAATCTCTCTGTCTAGAAGCCTTGAAACCTATCAAGACCTTCAGGTTAATTTATCTTAGCCTGGGAGTTCTTTCAGAGCTAAGACTCCCTTCCCCAGTAACTTTTGGTAATCCAACCTGTATCTAATGCTCATTTGAGGACACAGTGAGTAGAACATAAATAATCTTCCATAGAATTTAAGGCCATTAATAGGTGAGTTTTGTGTGGGGGGAGGGTGAGGCTCAATGTTGGCTTCATTTTCTTCCATGAAAGGGCAAAATCATTGAGCATTTCCTCTGATCTCCGTGCATTTGTTTATTTTGAAATGGTTGTTAAATCTGACTTGATTGGGACAAGAATTGACCTGCTGTATTCTAAGGAAATCCTTTGTCTTGTAGCCAGTGACTAAGGCACCAGCAGATTTGAAGAATACTCTGGGTCTGCTCTACTTTACTCATGGATGCTTGGTCTTCTCTTTGAATATCTTCCAGCCCAGTCACTGTTGGTTACGAGATATGGTAATACAACTGTCACTCAGCTTGACTGACCTTCTGGACAAGTTTTCAAATATTTCTGAAGGCTTGAGCAATTACTCCATCATAGACAAGCTGGGGAAAATAGTGGATGACCTTGTGGAATGTATGGAAGAAAATGCACCTAAGGTAATGTGGTAGCCATCAGAATCAATTTTTCTTCTACATATCTTAAGACCTTTCCTATTCAATGGCATTGATGGGATGAGTGCCTCCTGATTTTGTGTTATTTTGAATTATAAACTTTTAATTTAAGAATAGTTTAAGTTGAGTCCATATTCTGTAGTTCTATTGCAATGCTAAAATGGATATCCAGGCCTAAATATTGCCACCTAAGGTGAAAATATAGTAATGCTAAAACAATTTTGCTTTTGCATTTTTGTTTCATACTAATTGAAGTTCATACCACCTTCCTAGTAAGTTACAAGTGTACTTAAACCCAATGTTGCTCTTGGAAAACTCAGACAACTTACCCTGTTATCTGTGATGTAATTACCACACAGTGACAACAGCAGTGCACTTTGATTCCTCGTGCATCTTCAGGGTCATCACATGACTCTGCTCTGGCTTCTGAGGCTGTGAAACAGTAATGTGCCCCAGGACTGAAGGAAGTAACAGCAAGAGGTTCAAATTCTAACTCTGTCCCTGATCAATCTTACAAATCTTTAACTTTTCTGTATTTTACTTTCTTTATGTCTAAAATGGGTTGGTGGCACAATCCTTCTCCCAAGGATCAACCATAGAGTGTCTCTGATGAGTACTTTAGCAACAGATCCAGCAAAAATAAATGTAGATGCATCTTGATATTGTTATTTGTAGTACTATCTTTGTAATAGATTAAGTCTTGGAGGATTTAATTCAATGGTTCTCAATCTGTGCGACACATCCTTTTGGGACATTCTTCTTTTACAGGGGTTACATATCAGATACCCTGAATATCAGATATTTATATTGTGATTCATAACAGAATCAAAATTACAGTTGTGAAGTAACAACAAAAATAAGTTTATGCCTGGGGGGTCACCACAACATGAAGAACTGTATTAAAAGGTCACTGCATTAGGAAGGTTAAGGACCAGTTATCTAATTGGATAGAGGGTTCAACTAGCCAGTTTACCCTATTGAACTTCTAGAAGTCTAAACACACTTTTTTGAAAGACCTGACTGCTTTTAACTCTGTTCTAATCAAAACTCCAGCTACTTTTCAAGACTCAAGTCCTACTTAATGCTGTCTTTGCTTGGTGTTCTTGTCATATTAATAATCTCTTCATGACAGTTTACCACTTCTGTTGTTTCACTATCTAAATTCTAAACTTAGTACATACCTTGAAATTCACAATGTCTTAATATTGACTTATCTACGTACATCATAGTACTGTTGCAGATAGAATGACATTTCATTCATAACAAGTATGAATCACAGAAGAATGGGTACATCACAAGGTTATCACAAAGGAAATATCATGTATATTGAGGTTTTGAAGATTAATTTTGTTTAATAAATGGCAGTGTTGGATAAAGTATTATAAATAACAAAGAATGTGCATTCGCTAGTTATGACATTTTTACTAGAGTCCAAGACATTATAGATGTGTGCTATTAATACTATAAATATTGTTTATATGTTCCTAACATATTGGTATGATTTGAATCTTCAAGCTTTATATAAGTCAATCATACTATTTTTATGTGTTTCTTTTATCCAGTATTGTTTATAAGATATATTTTCATACACATAACAGTTGATTTTTTGTTGTGTATAGAGTATTCCATTATTATTGAGAATATCATTATTTATTAAGCCACACATCCATTGATTGAGGCAAGGATTACAAATACTGCTGCAACAGTTTATCTCTGTCTTATGATATATGTGCATGAGAGTTTCAGTAGGGTGTTTGCCTATTAGCAGAATTTCTAGATCAACGTATAAGAGTTTCCTGGGAGGCTGGGGAGATGGCTTGGCAGTTAAGAACAATTGCTGTTCAGGCAAAGGGTCCAAGTTTATTTAGTTTCTAGAACCTATGTTGAGACACTCACAACCATCTATAATTCCAACTCCAGGGGATGTGAGACCCTCTGCTGGACTCTGGGCATCTTTACTCATAGATGCACATACCACCACCACCCCCAACACATATGGACTCATTAGTAAGAAATTAAAAAAATTAAAAGAGTTCCCTTCAATTCAAATCCTTGTCTATATTTGGGATGCCCAGATGTAAATTCTTGGAACATGTGTTATGGAGGAGTCTTGTAAAAGCTAACACTCACTGGGAGTGGTTGAACATGCCTTCACATGCCTTTAATCCCAACATTCAGGAGGCAGAGGCAGGTGGATTGCTGAGTTTTAGGCCAGCCTGGTCTACAAATTGAATCCCAGGATAGGTAGGGGTGTTATACAGAGAAATCCTGTCTCAAAAAGTCAGTAATAATAATAATAATAATAATAATAATAATAATAATAATAATACCTATAATAATAGCTAGCACTCATACTTTAGTATTTTTTAAATTCTTAATTATTTATTGGAATCATTTCATTGTCTTGTTGTATTTCATCTGCTTTGTCTAGTTGCTTAGGTCATGCATTTGAGTCTGAGACTGATCTGATGCCATCATTATCCTCCTTAGCCATTTAAGTTGTGTCTATTAGAACAACTGCTCAAACTGTTGGCTTGTAAAGTTCAAATACTTGAATCTTGAGGACATAGTAAATTGTCCATTATTTTGATATCAGTCAAGTCTGTGTGTTATTTGAAAAATAGGATCTTGTTTACTTACTTCATTTATTCATTGCTCTAGAATGTAAAAGAATCACCGAAGAGGCCAGAAGCCAGACTCTTTACTCCTGAAGAGTTCTTCAGTATTTTCAATAGGTCCATTGATGCCTTCAAGGACTTTACATTGGCATCGGACACTAGTGATTGTGTGCTTTCATCAACTTTAGGTCCTGAGAAAGGTAAGGAATTTCAGCATTTCCAGTTTCAATGTACATAGAAAGCTAGGGCTTCTGTAAGACTCTACTGAATCAGCTGAGTGTGTTGCTATAATAAGAACATGTGTGCTTTTCTAATAAAAGAGCAATTATTGATGACCACTAATGATTATCATCTATTAATAATTAGAAAGATGTCAGTATCCAAGACCAAAACAATACTTGATATTTTTGAATTGAAGCATTGTGTGACTTACCAATCCATGATGGGGGCTCACATTATTATTTTCTTATCTGCTATTTGTTAGTATAGTAGAATTATGGTATTCTTCATCTCCAGTGTCCCTAATGTTCACTTCTCATATCTTTTCCTTAAGACTTGAATTCTGATCCTCACGAGTTAATTCTAATCCCTATTCTCCCTGAGCTGGGTCCCTATGATAGAACTAACTTCATTGCTTCCTTTTAAAATGTGACGAATTACCAACAACTTTTCATTATTCATTCATATTTCATTATTTCTTAGCATGTATATGCATGCAATAAATCATTGTCCTGGAAGATAACTATGGTGGATTTGTTGATGAAAGTGAGCAGCAGGGCTGAGTGTGGAATAAATAGGAACTGAATGATCTAGATTTGGGGAGCAGGCCCAGCACATACTCTGGTATTGCACTTCACCTTTTGGGGACTCTGTAATTCATATAAATCACCATGTAACACTGACACGTTATTGCTTTCTATTTAGATTCCAGAGTCAGTGTCACAAAACCATTTATGTTACCCCCTGTTGCAGCCAGCTCCCTTAGGAATGACAGCAGTAGCAGTAATAGTAAGTACACATATCTGACTTAATGCATGCATGGCTCCAAGTAGCCTCTATAGGAGTATTGCATGGACTTTAAAGAAATTTTTATACATTATTACTAATAATACTGTTCTATTACTGTTATTCCTTGTATGGTCTTCTTGACAATTAAAATCTGATTTATAGAATTGAGTTTCCCTAGAGCTTAAGATAATGATGAAGGAATTAGGCCAATAAACTTTCTGTAAGATTATTTTAAATAAGGCATGAAATTAATTGTAGAAATATGGTAAAGACTTTTTTTTTCAATCATGTAGGCTTAAAATAAACTTTGTGGGGAATGTCCCTGACCAAAATGGAGTTTTCAGATTTCAAGTGCATGTGCTAACTCTCTTCAGTTCCCAGGATATTTTCAGTTTTGTGTCTCAGTAGTTACTACTGCATGTTTGGGAAATTGGTGATGTTGTTATTTTACCTAAGAATGTATGTTGGAGGAGAATATACTTCTTTCCCTAAATTTCTGTCCTCTTCACCCAAGAACCCAGGTTCTTGGAAGCCTATGTCTTATTTTTCAAGTCTGTGAAATGATAATTACAAAGGTTATTGACTGTGCTGTGTATTCTTGGACCTCGTTTTTTACAGATTTATAGTAACTTACATCATTTTAAAAGAAAAATCTCTGAAGTACACGTTTTAGAATTTTTTTCCATCAAACCTTGACCTGAACCTAAAATAAAGCTATATATAGTCTTATATCCATCTAAAAGACATCGATACATTTCAGAGCATAGATATTTAATACGTTTGAGGGAAGGGTGCTGCCAGAACTCATTGGCTGGCAGTCTACAATGCCCAGTCTTTGCAGGACAACAATCTTCGGAAACCTAAAATTCTGAACTGCATTCATAACACTCCAGACCTCATAAGTTTCTAAAAGGGACTGGACTTTGTATGCCTGTGTCATCATAAGGGTTTTCTACTCATCTTTTCAGAGAAACTACTTTTAGTATCTCATACCCTCAGTTCCTGGCTCATTGGTATTAATATTTACTATTTCCATACTACTTACTCAACCTGTCCCAGACTCTTAAATTGGGAAAATTACAACATTGTTTTAAACTAATTTTTTTTAAGGATGAAAGTTTCTTTGTATGCACTAGTGTTGCTGAGTCCCATACATTTTTGTATATTGTGTTTCTGTGGTTTTTTCAAAAGTATGCGTATGTGCGTTGGTTTTTTGGAAACAAATTCTTCATGTGTAACCAGGCTTGCTATCTGCCTGTCTCGGCCTCTGACGTGCTGGGATTACAGGGATGTGTACCACACCCAGCTGTCTCTGGAATTTCAACTCTTCATATGTAAAGTCATTGTTGTGGCTGAACTTGGATCTGTCACTTTTTCTTTGCTTTCTTGTTCCAGTTTTTATTGGCCCTTTCTTTATTCTGGCCTCTTTATTCTGAGGTATCCATTTCATTTCTACTTGATCTTCAGTATCTCTTTGCGTTATTTATAGTGATTTTGGGGAACTAAAATATACATCTTAACTTGTAATATTTTTCTTAAAGTTAATATTGGTGTACTTCAAGAAAACACATGGACCAATCTATTGTGTTTATAAATGTCATACCCTTAGGTCATAAACGCCCATATTTAGAATTTTCCAACTGTTGTTCTAAGCAGCTACCTATCCTTTCAAGTAGAAAAAAGTATGTCACCTTTTAAGTTATTTTCATACCTTCCATTCCTTCCTCAATCCAACTTTCTACCTAGCATTAATTCTTCTCAGAAAATAGAACTCCTTTAACACTTTCTGTAACACAGATCTATTGGCAACAAATCTTTTTTTTTTTTTAATTTGAGAAATGTTTGTAATATTCGTTGTATATAAAGGTACTTTTCATTAGATAGTAAATTCTGAGTTAGTAATTTTTTTCTTTTATTCCTTTAAAGACACCATTACATTTTCTTTCTGCAAATACTATATCTGAAAGGCAAAAGCAACCATTTGTGTTGTTTTTCTCCATGTACTTTATGTTGGACATATTTCCCCTTATTCTTTTTTGAGTAATGTGTAAAATGCCAATGACGGGCGATTTTCTTTGTATTCATTTTTCTTGATGTTTGTCTAGTTTATTCAATTTTTGAGTTTATTTCCAATCCCAAAGCTAGGGAGAGTTTGCTCATAGTTTTTGCAAACATTTCCTCTTTATTCTCTTGTTCCTCTCCTAAGATAACCAGTCAGGAATAATTTTGTCAGTTTGGCATTGTGTTAGGTGTCAGAAAAGTAGCATTGCTTTTATTTTACCTTTTCTTTTTACTTAAGAAAAAAATCTCACATAGTCCAGGCTATCCCTGAATCCAGTGTGTAGCTAGGATTGTCACGGGCTTCTGATCATCTGTTTCCACTTCCCAAATGCTGGGATTACATGTATTAATTTTTACAAAACCACCTTTTCATGGTTGATATCAATATATAATTTTCACTTCTTTTGTTTTCCAGTTCACTAAGGTTTCCTTCTACTATATCTGGACTGAATCTTACAACCAGAGTTTGCTTTCATTTCTAGTTTTTTTTTTTTTTTATGTTCCAGAATTTCTATCTGATTACTTTTTATGTTCTGGTGCTCAAATTTTTTTATCTTCATATCAGGACATTTTCTTTTTTTTTTTTTTCCTAACATTCTTACTACCTACATTGAACATACAGTGAATATTTATGTCATCTTGTCATCTTCGCATTTAATGTCTATAGCTTTCTTTTCTTTTTTTTTTTTTTTCTGGTCTTCCTGATTGTGGCCAGATATTTCTCTTAACAGTCTGTAATTTTTTTTTAACATATGCTGAATATTATGACTGTTGTATTGTTAGATAGCTTCTGGGTTTCATAACATTCTTTCAGAGGCTGTTGAGTTTTGTGGTTAGAGGTTCATTTATTGATAGATAAGCTTCATCTTCCTTTCCAGGCTTGTTTTAAAATGTGGTTAGGGACAAGGAAAGGGTAATCTCATTCTTAAGGCGTGGGCTTTCTGAGATGTCTCCAGAGTACTGTGAATACGGAACAGTCTGTGCCACAGACCTCCTTGTATTGCCTTGGGATTATCAATGTGTCTGCTGCTGAAGAGCTGTGTTCTTATCTGCCTTTGTTGCATCTCTCCCTGCACATGTGCAGATTATTACTTGTCTGATACCTAAAGAGACTCAGTAAAAGGTTTGTGATAATTCTCATTTGCACAGTTTTTTTTTTTTTTTCCGTCAAATGCAACTGGTCAACTTTACACTGAACTTCCATATCTCAAGAGAACACTGACCCTTGGTAGAGTTCTGTCTTCCCTGCACAGGGAAGCCAAAAGCTAGAAATGAATCAGTAGTGGGTCTCAGTGCATTTCTTGCTATTAACAGGCACACCTTTGTACTGTTGGTGGGATAAATTGTGAAAATAGTTGTTTCATTTGATGTGTCCAGGATAATAATTATTTAGTGAGAAGGCTATCACCCTCATGATTCAAAGCAAAGAATTTACTACTTACCAACTTCAAAACAAACAAACAAAAAAACCTAGATACAAAGTCTAAAACCTATTTGAGTCTTTTTTTTAAAAACAAAGTAGACACCTTCTTCTAGCTTTCCTCTACTTCCCCATTTCAACTTATGCCCCCTTTCTTTCTTTTGTTGAGACATAGATCTTACATGTTACAACTTGGCTAGCTGTAATGTCACTCATAAATTAAGTACCAAGGCATAGAATAGTCTTTATGGTACGCCCATTCTAAGAGATATGAATGAAAGGCAGTATATAATATGAGTCACAATAGAAGTTTTAAAATGTTCTTACTGGTAGCATCAAGAAAATAAATCTGTTAAGGAGAATGATCAGGAAAATTTGAAAAAAAAAGCATCATCGTCTGTAGACAAAAGAGTTAAAAGCAGCCGGGTGGTGGGTGGCACACACCTTTAATCCTAGCACTCAGGAGGCAGAGACAGGTGAATCTCTGTGAGTTTGAGGCTGGTCTGGTCTACAGAGTAAGTTCCAGGACAGCCATAGCTACACAGAGAAACCTTGTATTGAAAAACCAAAAATGAAGATGAAGAGAAGGAGGAGTTATAAACTGTGACAATCAGAAGATCAGGACATATGAAAGATGTGAATGGATAGGGGAGAGCCATACGCAGGCCTACTAGCTATCTGAGTGGAATCATAGTTACAGAGTAAATAGGAGCATTCTTTATGCAAAGCAAAACAGTGGTTCCAGACACTTGTTTGAGAGCCTTCCAAACAGTGTTGAAATAGTATAGAAAGAAAGTCTTGCTTTGTAATAAACTGCATATCTCCTAGAGATCTGTTAAGAATCAGAATATGGTCCAGCATTGTGGTTCACACTTTTAACCCCCAGCACTCAGGAGGCAGAGGCAGTCGGATCTCTGTGAGTTCAAGGCCAGCCTGGTCTACAGAGCGAGTGCCAGATAGGCTCCAAAGCCACACAGAGAGACCCTGTCTCAAAAAACCAAAAAAAAAAAAAAAAAGAATCCGAGTACATGGACATATGAGAGCATGCTGGTGATCTTCCTTCACAGGACTTCAGTGAATTTAAATGAGTTAGCATATATGTGTGTGCAGCCCATTTATGTCTAGTAAGTATTACTCATTAATATGAAGACACTGTGGGACACTGAGTCTGTGAGGCAGTGATTGTTGAGTTTGGAATCTAAATCATTTGCCTGTTTCCCAAGCTCCAAAAGAGCCATTGTCTTGACATTCCTAAGCAGGCTAATGCCCTAAAAAGAAGCCAGGCAAGATTAGAAGAGTTGTCTGTGTTCCAGGTGTTTTCCAGATGTTTATTACTGTGATTTGTAACAAACAAATCAGTCCTTATGCTGTTTCAACCATGGACAGGTTTTAGTAAAAATGAGACACCATCTATGCAGTTATGACCCAGGGACTGAGGATGACTCAGATCCTGTCTGGATGGGCTCTCTCTCTCCCACAAGGTCTTGGCAAGCAATTTTTGTACTAAAGCACAGCTCAGTTATGTACATGAGCTTTGGTTCAGATATCCTTCCTGTGGGCTCTGAGGCATTCGATTCTGGTGGAGAGCTGAGGTGGCGGTGCTGACGTCCTCTGGGGATTTAGTTCGAGCAAGCCTTTTCTGATAACTCTCTGCAGGGATTGGCATGATCAGTATACATGTGAGAACCGAGGCATGGTTTTTCAAGTGTGAAATACCAAAAGCAACATTGACCTCTAGAGAAGGAATATCATCCATGCCTTTTCTTCCCCTTGTCTTTAGGGTCTGGAGAAGGAATATCATTCTTCCCCTTGTCATTAGGGTCCTTTCTCTTCCTCTCCTACAGATGGAATGTTACTGCATTCTAGACTGCACAACTTGTATCTACCAATAGTGCTAGGGTGAACAGTTCCAGTAGACAGTGGTGGCCATAGCTGATCATCCTTCAAAAGGAATGCAAACACAGATAACCAAATTATTTATTTGTAGACAGTAATACTGAAATTCCTAAATTGGTAAAATTGATTGTGATGTACATTACTGCTTCAGTTATACTCAGTGGTTTCTAACTAGGGCTATTTTGTTTGGAGAGATTAATGAATATTGTTCCCTAACCTAGGATGCCTAAAACATGTCTGTGCCAAGACCGTATGATGTAGCAGGGCAGAGCACTGTTAACTTTGTCTCGAGGTAGTTTTATTCTTATATAAATGGATGACAGCCCTTCCCATAACTCCCCACACAATCCCTGTATTTTGTAATGAACACCCACCCTTAGCAACCCCTCTAACACACGCGTGTGCATGAGCTCACAAGCAAACATGATGTTGGAAGTATAGGAATTAGAAAATAAGGAAATTCCTTCCTGTGGTTCACATGTGCTAAAGGAATAGAAGATTTCTGCTCTCACTATAGTAGATAAGATTTATTTCTTATTTATTTCTTACCTTTTAGATTAAATGTATAAGTTTCTCCATTGTCTGCATGGGCAGTAGATCTGTTCCTTTATAGTAATCACTTGGATGGGTAGTAGATGTTAAGCAATTGTAAGCTGACCTTGTGATCAAATTCCTGTTTAAGGTTAGCTAAAAGCAGTCACTTTATCTTGGTCCTATTTTAATTTGAGTCCTGTAATGGCTGGAAATTTCTAATTTCTTTGAAAGGAAATTCCATGGTAGCAAATGTGCCAGTGATTCCAGATAACTAAATTGTTCATTGTAAGGAGTCCTATATGAAAATCAAAGTCAGTTTCACTTTGGGAGAAAGAGATTATTTTGTAACTCATTCCATTTCTTAGAGAAAGGTGAAACAGGCCCAGGGATCAATAGTCAGTGCCATTTGTTTTTGTCCAGAAGTCATTATTTTGAATGGGGTGACACTGGTGGCTTCAGCCTTCTTCAGTGTAGTTTCAAACTTTGTGATGTAGAAAGTAAAAATTCCCATTCCTCTGTGTGTACTGAGGGTGTGAATAAGCAAAGAGCCATAATTTTAAGGCTGCTTAGAGAGCTGTGGCTGCAGTATGCATTTAGTGATTTATTGTTGGCAACAGATTAACCCCAACTGAAATCATGCAGGATCTGATCTACCTTGCAGGGCTCTTTAAAGCTGGGGAGTCAGAATGCCAAGATCGAGAAAGCTAGATAAAGTCAGCCAATTGATTAGAGAAGAAAGATTTGCTTGCTGGGAGAAATCCTTCCTGCTCGGGAACATACCAAGTCTGTGTTCCAAATATACATGGACCTTAACCACTTTAAGTCTCCTTCTGTCTGTGGGCTTTCTTTGTTTTTTGAATGCCTTCGTCTTTTAAAGATTGAATGGATTTATACTGCTTGCAAAATCAAAATTCCACAGAAGGGCTGGCTTTTTGAAAACTGTGAAGGGCTGTACATGTCAGTACAGAAAGCTTTACAACAACCACAGCCTAATGGGCAGACCGCCAGAATGTAGCAGCTGTGTTCACCACCATACTCTTTGAATTGCAGGGAAAGCTGCAAAGTCCCCTGAAGACCAGGGATTACAGTGGACAGCCATGGCATTGCCGGCACTCATTTCTCTTGTAATTGGCTTTGCTTTTGGAGCCTTATACTGGAAGGTGAGCATTGCTATTCTTCACATCCTATCATCAATTTTATGTATTTGTTTGTTCATACCGAATAAACCGTATATATGTACACGTGATGAACTTATTCCTCTTTTCCAAGAAATGGTTTTATCAAGAAAAAGAGAAAAAAAGAACATTCTTATCATAAGGTAAAGCCTTGATGAAATTCAAGCTTTAGAAAAATTTCCATCATTCTTCATTGTGCATTGTAACAGAGAATGTACACATAAGGGATGGGACCCAGTTTAATGGTCCAAATTGAATAGAAAAAGGAAGAAAATATATTGAGAAGCATATGCTGCGCTTAAAAGCCAAACATATATGGCTGCTACTTTGAATGCCACCTCTTTTGTTCTCTGAGTAAAGTCTGTCCAAAATTTTGATGCGCTAAATCATTATGACTCAGCTTTAAGAAGTTATCTTTTAAATTTGATAACTCTTTATAGAACAACCTAAAAATGTTGATAATGCTTGCATGCTTAAGAAAAAGCACCTGGGATGGCACTTGATTGCCTTGAATGGTATAAGTGGAGCCCACTGATCTCAAACATTGCAGCAGCAATTGGTGTTTCTGCAATACATGTCATTGGCTTGTTTTTTGTTTTTATTTTTCCCAGAAGAAACAGTCAAGTCTTACAAGAGCCGTTGAAAATATACAGATTAATGAAGAAGATAATGAGATAAGGTATTTTATTCTCTAAACTGTGTGTTCGGATAAGCTTGGTGTTGCCATTTCTCTCGCTGTGCATGGTCATAAACATCTTTAGGGTATTGTTCATTGTTGGGCTGCACCTCCCATTTAGTGTATTCCAGATCCTTTGCTGTATCTGACCTTCCATTGTCTACTCAATCCTACATCTTAACCTGTGGACTGTCTCTGAAGATACTCCAACCCTAACCCCTAATGCTAACCCTCTAACCCTAACCTCTAGCCTCTAACCATATTCCTAACCTCTAACCCTAACCCTAAACCCTAGCCCCTAATGCTGACCTTAAACCCTAACCCTAACCATAACCCTAACCATAACCCTAACCCTAACCTTAACCCTAACCCTAACCCTAACCCTAACCCTAACTCCAACTCCAACCCTAACCCTAATCCTAACCCTTTTCCACAGACATCTATGTCCTTTGGAGACAAACTTTTTCACATGTGTCTAGTGTCTGCATTGTATCTGTCACCTTAATTGCTATCACAGAATCTTTTTTCAAGAGTTCTTATAAACACATTCTTTGTCATGTTACTTCTTAGATCTCTGTTTGTGATTCTACTTCCTGTTCAAAACCCTTTAGATGACTTTCTCTTGCAGCCTTAATGTAACTTTTTGCTTCAGTTTGGTTTAGAAGCCCTGAACTTTGCTCAATTTATTTAATATTTTATCTAAAGCTAAACAAAATCATTATTTTAAATGTTTTCCAACCTACTGTAACTGACCCAGATGGCTCTTCCACCTCTCTCTCCAGCACATAGTTTTATCCGCCTTAGATTATAATATTCAGCATAGTATCTTATTTTATTATGTCTGTCAGTACACAGACACACACACACACACACACACACACACACACACTCTCTCTCTCTCTCTCTCTCTCTCTCTCTCTCTCTCTCTCTCTCTCTCTCTCTCTCTCTCTCACTCTCTCTCTGTCTCTCTCAGTGATACATTATTTATGAGTTAATAAAGCTTGCCTGGGGATCAGAATGCAAAGCCAGACACGCTAGTCAGTCATACAGGCCTAGCAGGGGTGTCACACACCTTTAATCCCAGGACTCAGGAGACAGAGGCAGAAGGATTTCTGTGAGTTCAAGGCCACCCAGGGCTACACAAGAGTGAATCAATCTAAAAGAGTAACAGAACTCACATCTTTAATCCCAGCACTAGAGGTATATAAGGAAGAGGCAAAAGGTCTCATGGGAGATTCAATTTTCAGTCATAGGGAAGACAGGATTTCTATTTCAGCCTTGATAGAGGTAAAAGCTACGGGCAGACTGCTTTGCTTTTCTGATTTTCAGCTTGAATCCCATTATCTGTCTCTGGGTTTATATTATCCATGTTATCTACACACACACACACACACACACACACACACACACACACACACAGACCATATATATATTTTTTTTCAGTAAATATTTTTTAACTGCTTCAGCTGATGATGTTGGGACAACATCATCCCTCTCCCTATATGACAGCCATGAAGTTAAGCTTCTTAAGTGTTCCAATTATCCCCTTCCCTCCCTGCAGTCTTTTGCTACTGTATTTACTGCATTTCTAGATCTAGGTGATGTACTTCAGAATTTCTCCAGAAGCAAATGAGGGATTTTCTTGTTGTTTTTCAGTATGTTGCAACACAAAGAGAGAGAGTTTCAAGAGGTGTAATTGTGGATGTATCAACATTGTTACCTTCGCACAGTGGTAAGTTGCTGGAAATCAAGATCCAAGAGCCATAGAGGATCTTAAAGACCAACATTTAGAAACAAACTTTATTGTTATGTCCTTGACAGCACTGGTGTCTAAATGTTAGGGGCAGTTACAAAGTTGAATTGTGCTTCTTTCTCTCTAGCAAATTCTCAGGTTTTGAAAGGTAGGTAGTATTGGTCCACATTAGTGGATTCATTTTAAATGGGAGATACATAAAACACTAATTGTTGTTGATTGTTGACTTAGAGTAAAAGGAAATAATTAAGAAACAATAAACATCCAATTTCATTTAGGTGTGTCTACTGTCAAATGGCATTGACCCACTTGCTAGATATTTAATAAAGAGAAAACCCCAAACTATTTTCCTGCCATTTCAAGAAAAAAAAAAAAAAAAACAGCATCTTATAGCCAGAATAAAACTGTCAAGGCAAATGGCACTCAGTGCAGGCCTGCTCCATATACTGATCGTATAAACCAAGAACAGATACCTGATGTGGTTGTGCAGTAAAGGAGAGTTTGGCATGGCTAGAAGGGACAGATGTTCATTATCTCTCATGCTATCTATGTTTCCTGCTCTCAGGCACAGACGTGGTTGGTGGGACACCCAGAAAGTCATCTACCTGATCCAATATCAGTTCAACCCTTGGCTCACTTTCACTTCCAGCACCTGGTCATTAATAATTGCTCTCTGAGCCTTGGGTGCATTTTCCACAGCTAGTAGGAATGTCTGCTCCCCTCCCTGGAGCCTCACTTCTTCCTACAAACCTTCATGTCAGAGGACCATTTACTTCTTATTTCTGGATAAAGTGTCTGCTGGACTCTCTCCTTTCCCTATAGGGTCACTGTTCTTCCAGCTGTCACTCTGTCCTAGATTCCAAAATTATCTTCAGAATGAATCTTCCCTGGGGAACCTGGGTCATAGTCTCTCCCTCTTGCTCTAATAACTTCCTTTGATTGGTATACAAAACCATTTTTAACAACTGGACTTAATTGGAGATAATTGCTCCGCATACATTTGACTTTGCTGTCAGCCACCACCCCGACTACCGTGTGCAGAGAGAGTATGACTATGACTCTTACCTGCTCCCCTCCCAGCCTTTTGAGGATCATGTTTTCCCCTCTCTAAAACTATGAGGAAGTGGAATCTCCTTTCCTTCTAAAATGGTATTCTTTAAGATGAAGTCATTGTTCTTCCTTGAAGCCCCTTTCTCTGTCCTTCAGCCCTAGCACAAGCTTCACTGTGTCTCATAACTGCCATTTCATGTCCTTATATACCAGTCATTTACACACCATCCCTTAAATGCATAATTGCATCTGAAAAGCTCAGGTGATACCCATTGTTGTTTGGATTGGGAACCACATGGCTTTGGTACATGGTTCTTCAATCCTGTGGTTTGGATTGTGGTGTTTGCCCTGTGACATTTGGATATGATGGGGGAACCCAAGCCACTGCTTAGGAAGAAAAGAATTGATGACATTTTAGAACCAACATAATCAAAGGAGTTATGCATACTTGCACTGGTCTCATACCTTGCAAGGATGGGAGCTGGGTCTGTGTGATTCATGCCATATTCCTAGCACTGAGCTCACTGCAAGTACAATACGGATTCTTGTTGTTTGTTGAGTGACATAAATTATTTTAACAAAGTGAAAGAGAAAACACTGAATAGTCAATTCTCCAAAGGAAATAAAATTTGTAGACTGAAATAAGAGTAATATTTTAAAGGAAAGGAAACAATGTGGAAGGAATTAAATGATGAACTGGAAACAAGACTAATTTGTTTTTCTTTTTTTTCTAAGTGTTAGAGTTGTGTTTATTTGACATCAAACATAAAAAATTTATTTTACTTTAGAATTTGAGCTTGTCACCTAGATGATATTAACTACCCAGATAGCAGCTTACTCATGAATTGGCTTATATGGAGTATTGCTTAAAAGAGAGGAGTAAAATAGAGATAACTTACATTAAAAGGTTCATTTATGTTGGTACATCATAAGGAAATTGTGTTCTTTATTTTCCTCACAATTTTACTCCAACAAACTGTAAAAGGTACATTGGTGCATGCCCAAAAGAATAGCATAGCTGTGTCCTCATGTGAACTATGGCCTACAATTGGTAGTAATTCATATTTTGAAGTAAATAAGTCTACAAAGTTCACAAATAAATAGTGGAGTTTGCAAAGGATACACAGCAAGAAGTTAAAAGAGGCGGCCACCATATATAGAAGATGTGAGCTTGTCACACCCCGGATATTGGTATGGACGACAGAATCTCTTAGGTTGTGCCAGGTTCACTCAAGGCAAAGTCTTTATCTGAGGGGGTGGAGAAATCACTGGTAACAGAAGATAGGCTTGGTTCTGTGACTGATAGAGGTGATGTTTATGCTAGATACATACGTCAAATGGTGGTTGATTTCATTAGTAATTCAGAGAGTTAATATAGATACTTCACATGGCATGAACAAGATGAGGAGGGGCTCAGAGTACAAACTGTTACAGAGCAGTACAGCTGTTACAAATGGACTCTCGTGGAAGTCCTCTCTCTCTCTCTCTCTCTCTCTCTCTCTCTCTCTCTGTCATTTTCACACCACACAGAGAGAGAGAGAGAGAGAGAGAGAGAGAGAGAGAGAGAATATCTCAGGGTTACTATTGCTATAATGCAACACCTTGACCAAACAGGGAGTTGGAGAGGAAAGGGTTTATTTGGCTTACACTTCCACATTGTAGTCCATCACTGAAGGATGTCAGGAACTCAAATAGGGCAGGAATCTGGAGGCAGGAGCTGATGCAGAGGCCATGGAGGGATGTTGCTTACTAGCTTGCTCCTCATGGCTTGCTCAGCCTGCTTTCTTATAGAACCCAGCCCAGCCCAGGGATGGCAACACCTACAATGGACTGGGCCTCCTCTATCAATAACTAATTAAGAAAATGCCTTACAGCTGGTTCTTGTGGAGACATCTTCTTAAATGAGGCTCCCTCCTCTCGGATGACTTTAACCTGTGTCAAGGGGTCAATGTCATGATGGAGAAACCCATAGGGACAGCTGACCTGGGCTTGTAGGAGCTCATGGAGTCTGGATGGACTTCTAGTGAGCTGACATGGAACCCACCTAGGCTCTCTGCATCTGGGTGAAAGTTGTGTAGCTTGGTCTTTTGTGGGGCTCCTAGCAGTGGTACCAGGACCTGTCCCTAATGGATGATCTAGCTCTTTGGAACCTGCTCCCTATGGGGTGATGGCTTATTCAGCCTTGATGCAGAGGGGAGGAGCTTGGTCCTGCCTCAACTTGATATGCCATGCTTTGTTGACTGCCATGGGAGGCCTTACCCCTTCTGAATGGAGAAGGAAGGTAGAGGGAGGGGATGGCAGGAGAAACTGGTTGGTATGTAAAATAAACAAAATGATGCATAAAAAAAAAGAGAGAGAGAGAGCCAGGCATTGGTGGCACATACCTTTAATCCCAGCACTTGGGAGGCAGAGGCACGTGGATCTCTGTGAATTGGAGGCCAGGCTGGTCTCCAGAGCGAGTTCCAGGATAGACTCCAAAGCTACACAGAGGAACCCTGTCTCGGAAAAACCAGAGAGAGAGAGAGAGAGAGAGAGAGAGAGAGAGAGAGAGAGAGAGAGAGAGAGAGGGAGATCTGGCACCTGGGTTCAATGCTAAAAAGAAAGAGTGGGTATCAGTTTGAAAGCAAGTTTGCATTCTGGGAATATAGTTTATGTTGGATTAGGTAATCTAAAAGCTGTTTGAAGGCGTGGAAAAGTGCTAGTGATGCCATGAAAGCAGACACTTACCAAATATTGGTGTGGCCAGAGGGACAGAGATTTGAACTGGAGGTAGAGGTTATGCCCTCAGAACTGTCTTCCATTCAGATGGGAGAGAATGAGAACCAGGGTCAGGGACATGGCAACTAAAAAAAAAAAAAAAAAAAAAAAAAAAAAGATGGACCACTTTGGAGATATTGCAGTAGAAGAATCAACTGAACAGCTTGATGGGTCTCTGCAATGATTTGGAATTTAAGAAAGAAAGGATGGTGGTGCTGTTAAAAGAAATTGGATGTCTGGAGTCAAGAGAGAGCTCTTGGTGAATATTGACAGTTCTGAGAAGTTACCACATATAGTGACCTCACAGTATGGAGGTCACCTGGGACTGGAACTACAGATTGGAATTTGAGAGTCATCTACACAGAATCTTACTTAAGACTTTCAGAAAAACACTTTTGGCTCACAGAGAAGGCGCAGGCTAGCTGGTAGTAAATAGCAGGTACTTGTAGCATGCACTTAGCTACTTTCAGTTATTTCACCGTTGTAATAGTAGAAAGTAAATTATAACTTCAAAAAGTTCTAAAATTAAGTATATTTGAAATATATATTGATTTGTATATGTAAATATGTATACACATATATGAGTAGAAAGCCATAAAGAAAGAGTCAAAACAGCACAAGCTAAAATTTTCCTGTAGATCTTAGTTACACTGGGAGAAACACATCCAATACTTGGTAGGAGAACAAGTTCAAAACATGCCTGGACATTTGGGGTGCAGGCTTGGAAATGGATCCAAGGTCCCGGATTGCTATAGGAGATATTTTCTAAAATTGTCTGGCTTTGGAGAGGGTTTTTTTGGTTTTGTTTTGTTTTTTCTTTTGCCTTTCATTTCCATATTCTAAAGCAAAAGACTAGAGATGATTAGGTTAGGCCTGAGCTCGAGCTGTGGCTCTGCAGCTAGTCGTAGCATCCCGGATGATTTAGAATCTTGTCACCTTTGTGTTTTCATCAGCAAGCCCAGGGCATATGCTGATGCTTCAGCCAGTGCCACACTTAGGGTGGATTTATAATATAATGCCGCCATTGTAATATAGCCTAGCTCTGTAGCACATTAGCCCACCTAGATTTGTTGAACTTACACCATTTCTACAACAAAATCAACTAACATGATGGCACACGTCTTTAATCCCACCACTTAGGAGGCAGAAGCAGGTGGAACTCCGTGAGTTCG